ATGTGTATAGTATCTGTGTGGACGGATTGTTTTCCATTAGAGAGATACAGTTTTGTATTCCATCGATTGTTATTATTATTATTATTATTATTATTATTATTATTATTATTATTATTATTTTGGTGGTATATAGGATGATGGTAAGAGGTGTGAGGTGGGATAGGGGGAGGTGGTCGTGGTATGTTGCAACCATCGCAGCATTTGCCTTGTGACCCGAGGGAAGCCACGAATGCCACGGTCAGGATAACCGCCCCTGGTATCGATCACGGACCTCTTGATTGCGAATCCAGCGCGTTACGCACTGAGCCACATCGCTCGGACACTTGAGATAGTGAAGGGAGATAGGGCAGTAAAGAAAGTATATGTCGGGGGCATGGCTAGTTGGAAGAATAGAGGCAGGCGAGGTTAAGATGGGATGACGAGGTGGAAGAATAGCCGAGACTCCTAAGAGTGAAAAAAAGATGGAGAAGAAAAGCAGAAGACCAAAGAGATTGGGCCACGGTAATTAAAGAAACCATGGCAAAACTAGAGCACCGGAGAGTTCAGAAAAGAAGAAGAAGACGAAGAAGTCATTATTGGTTGGCTGGTTGTTGGTGATTCCGGGCGCATCAACTACCGAGATCATTTGCCCGTAAGTGTAGTTTGTTTTTTCCCTCGGGTAATCTTCCCCAGCTGGCCGGCGAGATCGGGCGCCGACCTACACGTCAGCAAGCTGGATTTCCCCAACCAGGTATCTCCAACCAGTGGGCGCCGACCTGGCCGGGGTAAGCTCTAAGTTCCCGAACGGCTTCCTGGCGTATGAGGTGATGTGTGAATGGTTGTGTGAGTGTATGTAAGGGGGAGGATAGGACAAGGAAGTGAAAGGCCCGTACTGTGCCTACGAGGCGCCTTCTCCTTGTCACTACTGTAGGTACTGACTCCAGCAGCGGAAACCTAAGCTTTTGTGAACTTTTTAGTGGTCCAGTAATAATTAAAGGATGAATCAAAATGAATGATGACTAAAATGAAAGAATAGATTAATGGATAAAAATAGATGCATAAGTGAAAGCGATTGAATGAATGGAAGAATGGAAATGAATAGAGTAATGAAAACATAAATGACCGGATGAATGAAAGTGAATGAATAAACTGATGGGTGGTAGTGAACGGATGAGCAAAAAAAAATGAGCGAGTGAACGACAATTAATAAAATGCGCGAATGAACGAAAGCGAATAAAGGAATGCAAACGAGTAAACGAACGAAAGTGAACGAGTGAAATCATTATGAACTGAGTGATCATTACGGAGTGGCACTCACTTGTGGTGGATGTTGCGCAGTGAGCCCGAGTAGAGAATGTCCTTGCGGTACATGAGGCCGCTACCCTTGCGCGTCATGACTGGCGTGCCGCCAACCAGCCGCGACTCCACGTTGCCTGCAAAGAACAGCCATCACACACCGTCACTACACGCACGTACACACCTTCACGTACCCCTGAAGCGTGGACGAAGCGATACAGCAGTAAAATGAAGAAAATACGTAATCATTCGATTCATTAAGCGTCCCGGACGCAGCAACCGATACGGTCATTGGTCCCGTAAGCGTAGTACACGTTTCTTCACGTCGGCTGTGGTTGTCTTTCTCCATTGGATGGTGAGATTCGGCAACTACCCTACCCGTGGGCACGCAGGTGTGGAGAACTGTAGGACTTCCCGGTCAGAGGAGCTGCCGTGACATCAAATGATACCCTGAGCCTACTAAGCCGGTCCCAGTTTAACTCTTAATAACGAAAATAAAGGGTCAGAGTTCATTATAGAGTTTCCTTTTATTATAGAGTTTTAGTTCCACGGAGAGAACGTATTAATATTTATACATTCTTGGCTATCCGGAATGAGCCGCGTTTCGGTCAATTATGCTGACGTTTCGGCCATCTTGCTGTGGCCGTCTTTAGAGCTATACTGCTGACGTCAGCACAATTGATCGAGATGCGGCTCATCCCGGATAGCCAAGAATGTATTGACTCCGGCCGCTGAAGCCTAGGAACGTATTAATGTTTAGATTCTTAGACAAACCAACCGAAGTATAAAGCAGAGAATACAGGCTTTCTCGGAATAAATGTTACAAACGGTTAGCTCTTGAAGGAGGATTGAAAATGATAACATTTTGCCAACGAACATATGGCGAGAAATTGCACATAACAGAGTTTTACGCGTACATACATGTAAATAATTTTTAGACAATCTCATATGAATAGAAGTTCGAAAGGTACATGAAATCATACTGCGGCAGAATGTAACCTGCCGATTATGGAGTACCCTGAAAATCAGGGACAGACACACTCTCACTCTCTGTCACGCACACTCATTCTCATTCACACACTCTCACTATCATTCACGCTGTCACTCTCCCACTCTCGTTCTCACTCATACTTACTCCCACTCTCACTCTCTCACTCTTATTTACGCTCACTCTCATTCTCACTCACTCTCTCTCTCCCTCACGCTTTCATTCACATTCTCACACTCACACTCTCACAATCGAATTCTCACTCACTCTTAATCCAAAGCTCACACACACGTATAGAAGTAAAAAAGGCGTGCCAATAACAACATGGAATCCATGCCGATACAACTGCGTGTATCTCCGTTGTACGCTCGTTCCTCGTGGCAAGGGGCTGATTCGGGAGTGGCGGCGCGCGCGTGTACTGACCGGCGTGCGGGGGCAGGGAGACGGCGAGCGCCGGGTGGGAGCGCGCCAGGCGCGCGGCCGAGTGGTCGGGGGCGCGGAGGGCCGGGCGCGTCGCGTGGGCGGAGCGCGCGGGCGCCAGGTGGCCCACGCTGAGCGGCCTCTGCAGCCCCGCGCCCGCCCCCTCCTCCGCGAGGTCGCGCTCCGACGCGCGCAGCGAGCGCCGCACGTCTGTCGCCCCCGGGGCGGCCTTGAGGCGCAGCTCCTCCAGCGACGACGACGACGCCGACGCCTTCACCTGCGGGCAACCACCACCACCACCACCACGGCTCAACGGCTGCTCAACTCCGCCTCAACGTGTTGCTCAACGCATTGGTCAACGCGGGCAGACGTAGCGCATCCCACGACACCTTCACATAGCGACCACGACCACGACTGCTCAACAACGCCTCAACATGTTGCTCAACGCATTGCTCAACACGGGCGGACATAGCGCATCCGGTGACGACGTTGAGAAACATGTTGATCTAAATGTTGAAAAAGGGTTGAGTACTTGTTGAGCAATATATTGAGCAAAGGGTTATGGGTTTCTTGAGCAATATGTTGAGCAATGTGTTGAGATATTTCTGAGCAATGCGTTGAGCAGTGCATTTTCAGAACTGGTCAGTGATAAGCGGTTCCCTCGTCCGTGGCGTCCACCATCCTTACCGCGCTCGCCGGGAAGCGTGGCTATTCGTATCATTGCGTTGCGCAATGTTAGGAGATATGCTGAGCAACGTGTTGAGCAATATATTTATCAGTGTGTTAAGCAATGGTTGAGAAACTGGTCGATAGAAATGATGAGAAAGGGTTGACAAATATATTGAGCAAAGGGTTATGTGTTTCTTTACTACTATGTTGAGCAATGTGTTGAGACAGTTCTGAGCGCCGCGTTGAGCAGTGTGCATTTTGAGAACTGGTCAGTGTTACGCATTCCCCTCATTCGTGGCGTGCTCTCTGGGAATCGTGGCCATGCGAATCATTGCGGTACACAATGGTTTGAGACAAGCTGAGCAATGTGTTGAGCAATATATTTATCAGAGTATTGCGCAATTGTTGAGTAACCTGTTGATCAAAGAGTTGAGAAGGTGTTGAGCAATATCTTGAGCAAAGAGTTATGGGGTTTCTTGAGCACGATTTTGAGCAGTGTGTTGAGAAATTTCTGAGCAATGCGTTGAGCATTGTGCATTTTCAGAACTGGGCAGTGATACGTGGATCCCTCGCCCAAAAGCTTGGCTATGCGAATCATTGCGTTATGCAATGGTTTGAGGCAGGCTGAGCAATATATTTACCAGTGTGTTGAGCAACCTGTTGATCAAAATGTTGAGAAGGCGTTAAGCAATATATTGAGCAAAGGGTTATGGAGTTTCTTGAGCACAATATTCAGCAGTGTGTGGAAAAATTCCTGAGTAACGCGTTGAGTAATGGGTATTTTGAAAACTGGTCAGTGCTCCACCCATCTTCCCGCGCTCGCCGGGAATCGTGGCGATGCGAATCATTGCGTTATGCAATGGTTTGAGGCAGGCTGAGCAATGTGTTGAGCAATATATTTATAAGTGTTTTGAACAATTGTTGAGCAACCTGTTGATCAAAGTGTTGAGCAATATATTGAGCAAAGGGTTATGAGGTTTTTTGAGCACGATGTTGAGCAGCGTGTTGAGAAATTTCTGAGCAATGCGTGGAGCAGTGTGCATTTTGAGAACTGGTCAGTGCTCCACCCACCTTCCCGCACTCTCCGGGAATCGTGGCCATGCGAATCATTGCGATGGTGACGCAAATGGTATGAGATACGCTGAGCAATGGTGACATTGAGCAAATATTTATCAGTTCTTAAGCAATGGTGAAAACTTTTATCTAAATGTGAGAAGTGTTGAGCAATATGTTGAGCAAGGATTGTTTTTATAGCACAATTTGGCAGTGCTGTTGAAAATTCCTGCAGCACGCGGTTGAGTAATGCGTATTCGAGACTGGTGAGTGCTCCACCCACCTTCCCGCGCTCGCCGGGCGCGTGGCCGTGGTGGGCGGCGCTCGCGTGGCCGCGGTTCCGGGCAGGGGCGGGAAAAGGCGCTGCCGAAGGCCGCGCACGACAGCACCATTGGCGGCCGACGCAAGCAGCGCGTGGCCGCCAGCCCAGGCCGTCCACCAGCCAGCGGGTGACGAGGCGCCAGCAGGACATGGGTGCCCAGGCCCGAGCGCCACACGGCGATTAGCCGAGTCCGCCAACGAGCGCAGCCGCTCGAGTAGCCACGTCACCGACCACGATCGCCGGACAGGTACACCCAGCCGAAGCCAGCCCTGCAACACCACGGCCCACGCAGATGAATGCAACGTCGCCCACGCGATTCGCTCGGCGACGTACACCAGCGAAGCCCAGCCCTGCAAAACACACGGCCCAACGCGATTGAATGCACGTCGCCGACGCGGATCGCGGCAGTACACCAGGCCGACGCCCAGCCCTGCAAACACACGGCCACGCGAATGAATGCACGATACCAACTGAACGGTTACCGTCTCGGGTTGCTGTACCTAACGTTTGCGGCGTTCAAAACCGTTGAATTTTTAAGGACGAAAAAATTCTCATACATCACCTTCGAAGGGAAGTTAAAAGGTGACGGTGCGATTGTTGTATATATACTGATGTAAAAAAAAATCGGCGCTAAATAACCTCTGAGATAAATTTAAATGGGCCTGTTGTCGTCGCCCGAGTGATACCTTCTTTCTCGCTAAATTGGTGAATGGAGCGAAAGTTTGTTGCGATCACACGAAGAGCAGGCTGATAACCTGAGTCTATCAAGAAAACAAGGCCGTTAAATTAAATGAATTGCATTGTGAAATATATAAGAGCGGTGGAGCGCAGTCTTACCAGTGCCCGAGGCCGATGGTGAGGTTACAGCGTCTGCACGTTGTGGCGAAGACGCTCAGCGCCAGCGAAATGATTCCCAGATGGCCCGGCGATGGTGACGGATCGGCAGCCATAGCGGTCACGAACGAGCTGGAGATGGGGCCTGGCAACGAGGAGTTTATTCAGCGCCGAGTTTGGAACAGCGGAAGTAAAACACAGCATGCGAATACTGTCACATGGAATGTTTATTAAAATGATATATATTTTTTACATTACGCACACATAACGTAATATATTACACAGGGAAAGTATATAATGCATAGACATATTACAAAGAAATGAGGACAATTCGATTTAGTTGTACTAGCAAACCTGTACAGAGAAACTCTCGCATTGTTAATCCTTACCCCTTTCCTATCATTTCCCTATCCTTTCCATTAAAAAGGAAATTGTTAATGAAGCCTAGTTATTTGTTAAAAAAAAGGTATAAATGTACACTCGTTCTTACAGAATGTCAAACAAAAATAAAAACATGCCATTGAGGTTAGAAAAAAAAAAAGTATATAAACATTTATTCAGAAGTATAGAGTACGTTCTTCGAACGGTTCACACTTCCTATAGAAACAACATTTGAAGTAAATTCTATCAATCTTCCTTGACAGTTAGCTTTTCTTTTTCCTTGACAAGTCACAAAAATATTTGAAATGGTTTTTACTCTTGAGACAGACACGTATATGTTTTACATGCGAAAATACATGATTCGGCAAGTACAGGCCTACTCTTTGCAGTATTATTTAACTGTCTTGGATTCGTTAAGAGAGAAACAGATGAGGGTTGGAAGGGGCAGGGCGCGAGCTCGCTTGGTGCAAGAAATTGAAAAATTATTTCTATACAAATATTGTTTTTTATTTTGCGTTCTTACGTACATCAAGGAAGCAATGGTAGCCAAAAAATAATAAAACTAATACTTTCACGTTTGAGTTAACAAATACCATTTGTATACCTTATGCTTAGACTCGGCTTGCTGGTACTTGGAATGATTCTCATACATGTTTTACATATTTAAATCTTTTTTTAAGGCGGAACTGACATCTTAGTTTAATCTCAAACGCATGTTTATTCACAAGTGAGTTTCAGCATGAGGATTGATGTACGAGACGTCAGATACCGCCAACTTTAAATCCGCGCATTTCTGAATGTGATCGTTGGCAGTTGTCGATGAATATATAGGGGAATATTTTAGCTTCGATAGGAGTTATTTTAACGAGATAGAATGATCTGAGTGATGCGAGTGGCATTGACATGAATATTTAGCATGATTTTTAAAAACAATGCATTCATGTTTTTAAAGTCAAAGTGCAATTTGTCACTTCTCAGTGAAATTTATACATTTCAGACATGTGTATGCATTATGGCATTGTGATGAGGTGCTTTACGATTTCAATGAAGTTCTGTCGAAAACTCACAAGATTTCTGCCGGAAAGAGCTTTCCAGATTTCTAAAAAATTGCTCCAAAATTGTCAATGAAAATATCCATTTAGGACGGGTTTTTACTGTAATGTAAATTATTAAAGAGTTAATTTCAGTTCTACGACACAAAACCAAAACAAAAAGACAATTTTCCATAAAAAATCTCATTTGGGCGGCGATAGATACAGCTGGCAAGAGGGCCGAAGCGAGGGGACCAGACCAAAGAAATTAGATAACTAATAGTACGAGAAAGTACCATTCCACGTTGCATCACTATTTAAAATGATTAGTGGAAAAAAGGAAAAATCGATTCCCTAAATGGGTGGAGCCTGGGCAAAGGTGCCCCAGCTGTTCCCCTCTTAGTTGAGTGTCCTTGTGTGGATGATATGTAAGTGACATTAATTCTTTATTAGTAATAGGAATTCACCCACTGTATTAAATCAGTATTTGCTTTTTCTCTTAGTGCATGTTTGGTCTTCCTGTTTCATGCTTTTCGAGTTTGGCAAAACATTGTTATCTTTCTGTTTACTAGACAGGTTAACGAGCCCCTCTGGAAAAGGTCTCTTGATCTCGGGTGAAACACAGTCCACTCGCTCGGCAGAGAAGTGCTCAGGAAAGTGATTTGCAGGACCTCTTCGATAAACTTGCTTACGGAGACGCGCTTAAAACAGTTCGTCAACGCAACGGGCGCTTCTCGCTCGTGCCCTAGAGCGCGGCGCGTCGCACAGAACGCACACTTGTGGGGCGAGGCGAGAAACCACGAGGCGATCCAAGAGATCCACGAGGCAAGTTAACGAGTGGAAATAGCTTTGGGCTATTGGGGAGAGGGTGTTATGCTTGACGGGAGCCCCAGAGCCCAGAGATCCACAGGATACAGCGTCTATTCTTCGAAAAAACCAGTACTACTGGGGATATAATAAAGTAAGTGCCAAAGTAAGAATACAGAGGTGATCTTAATGGAATGATAATAGGTTCAGCAATTCGCACATTTTGCTCAATTCGATGATTTATGTTAATGAGTTTCATGAAAGCGAATTTGAAAAAGTGGAAACGAAAATTCATAATATCATGTAAAGCACGTAATACTCTTCCTAAAATATTAATCCACATACCGTGTTGTCATTGTAGATGCGTGTTCTATTTAATTTTGTTCACGTCGCCGCAAGGACTTTTTTCGATGGGGTGATTTACACAATAACACCTGTTATATATCAATACATTTATTGAACCAATTTCACATAAAAAGATAACCCAATTAGGTTCCTCCCAACATTTTATTTGTTACAAAAATTTAGCGCTAGTAGATTTGTTCGTGGCATTTGGCCGCTAAGGAGATTTGGATAAATAATATAGATTACCTTTAACCCACACCTACGTAAGTATTTTAATCGCATTTAATTGGATTTCCTCGAATATTCTTTATACAGGAATCTGGTATTACTTCCTTCTGTTAATTTCAAAAGTAATATTTGCCACCGTATATTTGATTATACTAACTAGTGAGGAACCTCTCACAAAATGCCTCACCTACTAAGAAGACAAACAGCCGAAGTGGCAGTTTTGTAATAACCAAGAAACTGTAATAATTGTTTATCTACCAACACCAACCCTTTTGTCTCGAACATAAAGAAACAAGATTAGTAGGATAAATGATACTTTGGTTCAAAGTTTCGTTTAAAATAAACAAGCTGAGACTGTTATTTTAATTCAATGGCATTTGCTTGAGGAGATGATTAAGTAAGGTTTGTCGCTGGTTAAAATGTAGATGAAAAAATGAACCCTGTGAGTGGATCCACAGGCTGTGATTGTTTCAAGCATTATTGCTACGTAAAACATTGATACGTATTCTGGTATTTTAAAAAGTAGAGACCGTATGTGAATGAGATATCTTTTCTGTTGTAGGAGTACATATCTTTATTACTCTTGGAGGCTTTGAAAACGTAACGTATTACCTCAAACTCGTACGCTGTGCTGTGGTACTACGTGCTGAAACTATTTACTGCTTTCATAGATAAGTTGCAACTCGCACAACAAAATTTAAAATAAGATTAACAAAATTGATTGGCAAATTAGCGTTGATGTTAATACTAAGGATACTAATACTTACTTGATACTAATTTTAATAATTTATTAACCTTTAAAGTAAGTGATAATACATATTGGGGCCCATTAACTTCATTAAAGAAATTGACTTGAGGAGAAGGCTCAAAAGTTCTTTTTGAACTAAAATGTGATCAGTGTTTTAAATAATGTAGATAATTTATTCACTTGTTTGCACTTTTTCATCGACTGATTAGTGATCAGGGCGCGCCAGATTAAGGCCAATATCCTGTAAGGCGTAGTGCATGGTTGTGCATCTTCATCTGCCCTCGCTGGTTGCGGAGGTCCAGTCGCCGACCTTCATCGGCTAGCGCGTGTCTTCTCCAACCAGGTATCTCCCATCAACTCAGCCGGCGACAGGCCTCTAACCTCCCGACGGGATCTCCCGACAAGCAGCTATTTTGTAGTTGCACGTTCGAGACGAGAGTCAAAGTAAGAGGTCAGACGTGTGCAAGGAGAGGAAGGAAAATAACATACGTCCAGTGGGCCGGCTTTGTTAGATACTTGCTCCGGCAATTCGCTGGTATTGACAGAAAAACCATTGAAAACTACCGGCCAGAGCACGGTTGGGCCTGTTAGAAATTCTCGTCCAGACAGCACCACAGAATTCTACTAGCGATCTATCTGTGTCGGAGAATTCGTGCCACGTCGTTGACTCGAATACCCAGACATCCACCGATCTGCGTAACCATCAATTGATGCCCTGAGTCACCTCTGCCGTGCTTGGAATGTTTATCCCAGTCATCGTATATTTTATCCTTGATATGTAGGGCATTAAAGAATTAAGTGTTAATGAGACTCACCGGAACCAGCACGTGACCAGGCACCACAAATGGACAGGATCCACGCGGTCTCTCCCCGACCGCTTTTCCGAAGATAAGGTGTGAGGGCGTCGCTAGAAGGATGCCGAACGAATGACGTCACTCCGTCTCTGCAATTTTCAGACAAGCACCACAGATACGTCAGTAAGACAAATAAAATACACCACAAAAAAAAAAATATAATAAACTCCTTAGCAGCATAACCTCCCCTTAGTCATCGACCCGTTAAGTAACAAAAATGGACAACAAATTCAGTCGCTTTACTCGTGCAACTTTTCTTGAACGCAATGACCTTTTACTTCCCCCTCTCTGACACAATAAACAGTTGAGACAAAGCTCGCAGCGAGCACTGGATGACAACCATTCCAAAAAGGTTTTCACTGAGCAAATAGAAACTATTTTCCGGTTGATGAAAACTTCTGTCCGTGATTTTCTCCAAAAAAAAAAAAAAAAAAAAAAAAAAAAAAAAAAAAAAAAAAAAAAAAAGAAAAAAAAAAACTTTAAAGAAATGAAGCCGAAGCAAGATAAAAATCCATCCACATGAGATATCTCGAACTCACCTGAGAAAGTTTAGAACGCAAATTATATGAAAATTGCGGAAGCCAGATGATGTCCAGATATTGGCATTGCTTCATTGGAAATTGATGGCCGATTGCCGTTTAACCTACTAATACCCCACTTTACCCGCCTTTCTTCAATCCATCTTCAAGAAAAGTTGCTGAGTAATACCTGGTAATGCTTTGTGTAAATGTAACTAAGTACAATAGTCAGATTATCAATTAAATTTGTAAACAAATAAATAACAGAAAAACGAGATTAGACGAAAATGTATAAATTTGAGGTGAGATCATTATTAGTGTCACGCATTTCACATAAATTTCAACTATGCATAATAATATATGAATTCGTATTGTTTTACTCGTATATAGTACACTGATCGATGGGAACGAGGACAGAGTACCGAAACATAAGAATAATAAATAAACTATTTTCTCCGAATTATTTTCTCCATATCTTACACCCAATTTGATTGTATTAAATATATAGAGAAACGTAGATGCTAATCTAGTATAGATTAAATAAAGAGAGTTCAATATCATAAATATATAAAAAACTTATTATAACGAATGTACATTTTATGGATATTAATAATAATAACAACAACAACACCAACACAACAAACAACAATAAATCTGTATTCTCTCAAGCATTAAAAAATTATATTTCGCTTGCGTCTTATTATTGAGCCGTCCATCTTTCTAATTCGCCGTCAACCTTAATTCCTTTTACTTTGAAACAAATGCCAGTAAAACACGCCGCTAGTATTTATTTACTTAAATTTTTTCATGCATTTAATTTCGGTTGGATTATGTATTTTTAATTTATTACTGACAATTTACGTCAGTCCAGGCAAAGTAGATGTGCATTTTAATTGACATTAATGAAATAAAACACAAGAGATTCCACTTATGAAAAACATGAACTTTCCAATGTTATCCGGATCAGAAAGGAAAGTGGTAAGTACCTATCTAGAATTTAACCCTTTTTTTATTTCACTTATTTGTAGTAATTTTATTCAACACTTTAAGTTCTTTCAGTTCCTTGTTCTATACTGTATGCTTTCATTCTAAAAAAATATTAATTCCTCAATAGAAAAATGGATAACCCCATTCTTATTTTTCAATTTTAAAAAGGGGTTTGATGACTTTTTAAAAACTAAAAACAATAATTAAATTTCAGGTAGTGCGGTCTATTGGAGTTTAACTTACATCATTAGCCTTAAACGAGCTAACCGCGTGGTGGAGTTTACAATGGGGAAGTTCTTTACCTGGGAGTTTTTAAAAATTATTTAAAATTGAATAGAAGGAAAATAAATTTAAATGAAATTTAATGGTTTTCCTTTTTCTTTGTTTTTTATGTAATTCTGGGCAATTGAAAAAACTATATTAAGCTGCATGGTTTAAAAAAAAAAAACAGCAGATCTGAAAATTTTAAAACACATATCACGTTTTCCTCCAATAATGTAAGTTAAACAGAGAATCTCTCTC